ACGCCCCTCTCACACAGCCCTAGCCCTACACCCACAGCACCCCCTTAAACCCTAAACCCCCCAGACTCCCACACAACCACCCCCCTCAGCGATAGCTGCAGCAGTGGGAGACGAAGGAGGAGGAGGAGGAGGGGACGGCACGCACAACCGACACCCCCACAACCATCACCCCCACACCCACCCCCCCACGGCTGCACCGGGTCCAAGAGCGGCTGCTGCAGGGGCCAGGGGCGGCTGCTGCTGGGGCGGCTGCTCCAGGGGCTGCTGCTGCTGGGGCGGCTGCTCCAGGGGCTGCTGCTGCTGGGGCGGCTGCTCCAGGGGCTGCTGCTGGGGCGGCCGCTCCAGGGGCTGCTGCTGCTGGGGCGGCTGCTCCAGGGGCTGCTCCTGCTGGGGCGGCTGCTGCTGGGGCGGCTGCTCCAGGGGCTGCTGCTGCTGGGGCTGCTGCTCCAGGGGCTGCTGCTGTTGGGGCGGCTGCTCCAGGGGCTGCTGCTGCTGGGGCGGCTGCTCCAGGGGCTGCTGCTGCTGGGGCGGCTGCTCCTGTAGGGGCGGCTGCTGCTGGGGCGGCTGCTCCAGGGGCTGCTGCTGCTGGGGCGGCTGCTCCAGGGGCTGCTGCTGCTGGGGCGGCTGCTCCAGGGGCTGCTGCTGCTGGGGCGGCTGCTCCAGGGGCTGCAGCTGCTGGGGCGGCTGCTCCAGGGGCTGCTGCTGCTGGGGCGGCTGCTCCAGGGGCTGCTGCTGCTGGGGCGGCTGCTCCAGGGGCTGCTGCTGCTGGGGCGGCTGCTCCAGGGGCTGCTGCTGCTGGGGCGGCTGCTCCAGGTGCTGCTGCTGCTGGGGCGGCTGCTCCAGGGGCTGCTGCTGCAGCGGAAATTAGGAGGGAGGGGAGGGGAAGGGCGCGGCCCCCAGGGTGCCCTGACGGGCGACGTGCTAGGGAGCCGCGCAGGCCCCCGAAAGTGCCTCGACGGGCGACGGGAGGGGACCGCGCGCGGGCCCCCAAGACGCCTCGACGAGGCGACGGGAGGGGCCGGCTCGCGGGCCCCGAAAGCGCCGCGACGAGGCGACGGGAGAGGCCTGCGTGCGGGCCCCCAAAACGCCGCGACGAGGCGACGGTCGGGGCCGGCGCGCGGGCCCCCAAGACGCCGCGACGAGATAGGAACCCGCCGCGCGCCGCGGGGCGCTCGGCGGGCAGAAAACCGCCACGCGCCCCGAGCGCGTGGCGGGAAGAAAAATAGGAGGTCGCGCGCCACGGGGCGCGCGACACACAGTAGGGCAGCGGAAGTAGGTGGGCCCACAGGCCAGGAGCGTTTAGCTCTGATAGCATTTCAAATTACTAGCGTGAGTTTGGCTTAGGAGCCATAGTTTAGGAGCCTTGGTAGTTAAGTTCGAGGGTGTAGGGTGTAAGGAAAATATCGAGAGAATTGTGGAAGGAGAGAGGTGAAACTAGAAAGGAGGGGGATACAAGTAGTAAGCCCTAAAAGGGTTATACTCACTTTTGAGTACCCCACTACAGACTAGACATGCATTATAATCTGACATTTCCTTGTCGTGAATCGGGTAGTTGCGCTCGGATGCCTGCAGCTTGCGTGATTCGTAAGCTATCGGCTGCAGTCCGTTCCCGAAATCTTGGAGTAGCACAGCTCCGATCGCGAAATCAGAGGCGTCGGTGACGACTTCGAACGGCCTCGATGGGTCGGCGATGCGCAGCACAGGAGGGGAAACTAGGAAGTTTTTCAACTCCTGGAAAGCCGCTTCTGCCTCCTCCCCCCACACAAAACTCCTGTCCTTGTGCAGCAGGTCAGTTAGCGGGCCGGTTATCCCCGCCATATTCGGGATAAACCGCCGGACGTAATTCACGAACCCCAGAAAACTCTGCAGCTCCGTGATGTTCGTCGGGGACTTCCACTCCTGTATGGTCTTGACTTTCGCCGGGTCGATTTTAATGCCACCGCGTGATATAACGTGTCCCAAAAACTCCAACGCTTGCTTAAAAAACTCGCACTTAGAGCCCTTGGTGATGAGGCAATTCTCCTGCAACCTTTTAAACACTGTGGCAAGGTCGCGGAGATGTTGCGCCCGTGTCTTGCTAAAAATGAGGATATCGTCCAAGTAGACGATGACGCATTGGTCTAGAAGATCCCGAAAGACCCTGTTCATGGTCAACTGAAAAGTCGAAGGCGCGTTTGTGAGGCCGAAAGGCATTACGGTGAATTTGTAACTTCTGTAGCGGGTGCAAAACGCGGTCTTGTGGCAGTCGTCGGCGAAGACTCGGATTCGGTGGTAACCACCGCGTAAGTCAATCTTCGAGAAATATCGAGCTCCGCGAAGTTGGTCAAGGAGGTCGTCGGTGCGTGGGATTGGGTAGCGAGACTTGATTGTCACCCGGTTTAGCGCACGATAGTCGATGCACATGCGAAGCCCGCCATCTTTTTTCGGAGTGAAGAGGATCGGTGCGGCAAAGGGAGATGTACCGGCTCTGATGAATCCTTTCTCCAATAGTGCATCAATTTGACTTCGCAACTCTTCGAGTTCCGGCTGGGTCAACCGCCATTGTGTCCGAACAGTCGGCTACGCGCCAGGCTCCAGCTGGATTTTGTGGTCCTTAGGTCGCTCGGGTGGTAGTCCAGGTGGCAGATCGTCGGGGAAGATGTCGGGGTATTGTCGAATCAGCTCCGCTAAGTCTGGTGGGACAGCTGCACACAGCTTCTCGATGTCCTTTCCGTCGGTGTCCACCGTCAACTCGCGTAAGCAAACAGCGAACAATTGTGCGCCCTTGTTGAAGTGTCGAGCTATAGTGATAGCTTTGAAGCACGGGGCTTGGATGTAGTCAGGTGTCCATGCAGGCAGCTTAATTAGCCCCTCGTGCTTGTTGATGCAGCACGATCCCGTTGTCCAGTCGATGACGGGGTTGTGCCGTCGCAGCCAATCACGTCCCAACAGCACGTCGCAGCCATCCAGTGTCGTCGCGAGGAACTTCATGCTGAAACCGAAATTGTCGCCGCGTTCAATCCGAACCGTCCGTGTTTCTTCGAGTATCGCCAGAGGCGTCCCATCCACGAGGCGAGCGTCGATTTCGGGCAGACACCTGTCAAGTTGCAGCTTGCATTTTTTTGCTGTCGCCAAGTTGAAGAGGCTATGGCTGGCCCCTCCGTCGACGAACATTTTTAAGTTGTTTTTTAACACCTTGCCAGCGACTAGCACAGGGTGATCCACATGAGTATCCCCGTTATTCGGCCGAGTGCGATCGATTGCATGAATCAGAACCACGACTCGGTGGGGATGGTGGTGTTCGGGCGACGGAGCACAGTCAGTAAAGGGCCCGCTAATTACTGACTTTTCCCATTTCCCTGCTCCTTCCTGTCGTTCCCTGTCAGCGGCGTTTTCTCCTAGCAGTCGCGCTTTAAGTGACCCATCTTCCCACATCGATAACACGGTCCCTTAGGAGGGCGGTCGGGTGTATGGACGACGTTGATCGTGGCCCGATGGGTCTGGCCACGAAAACGGATTCCCTCTCGGGAAGCTGTTCTCGCATACTGCATCAGCGCATCAGTTGACTCCGCCAGCCGTACTGCTTCCTTGAATGTTGTCGGGCGGCTCCTGCGGACCTCGTATTGAATCTCGTATTTTAGGCCGCTGATGTATTTATCCAACCGCTCTGCTTCCGACATGTCATCCACTTGGTCGGCGAGGCCCATAAATGACGCCGTGTAGTCTTGGACAGATGCCATCTGCGACCAGGCACGCAGCTTCATGCGAGCTTGCTCCGAGGCAGATACATGCTCGAAGCGATCTCGTAAGGCTGCGCCCCATTCTCACCATGTGCGTATCTTGGTCACTCCGAAGATCGACTCTGCCACTTGATTAGTCACTGTGGAGGTCCCGTCTGCCGCATGTGTCACACCTGTCGGGGTCCCCGTTTCTAGGGTTCGGCGCCACCACTCAAGCGCTGCACCTCGGAGAAGAGAAACGGCATAATTAATGCGCATGGCATCGTCGTTCACACCTGCTGCAGTGAAAAAGACTTCAACTCCGAACAACCACCCTTTAACTGTAGTCGTCTTGTCCGTAGGATTAAACGGGGGCGGGTTGACGGGTTTAATCTTGATCGTCGTTACTGCAACTGGTGCTGATGCCGCTCGCTGCCTGTCCTCTTCTTCGAAGTCACGTGTGAGCGCGTCCAACGGGTTGCTCACCGCTTGACTGTTGCCCTCGAATTCGTCATCGGGCGACTCCTGACGCGCTTCACCTCGCGCCTGGCGTAGCTCGGCGTTTTCGCCACGTAGCGTTGTCACTTCCGCCATTAATGTCTTCATGCCCTCTTGCATTTCTGCCACTTGCGCCATAAGTCTGTTAACCGCCTCTTGATCCATGTGTCGAGCACTGCGTCGGGTGGGCAAGCGGGTCTCCGTGGCCTTCAGGCAAAGTGGAAAACACGAACTATCGGAGTCGGGCATGTTTGAATTAACAAACCTTGCGGCCAACCGTCGTGTAGTCCACTTATACCAGCCAACCCGTGCCACCAAACTACCCTCGAAAAGCGGGGTGAACTAGGAAAGTAGCTCTGATACCAGGTGTTATGAGTTGTAAAAGAGAGTGCGCAGGTTAACGAATAACGAGAAGGTGATTGAACAGACTGCTTTTACAATGAAGGCACACGCTAATATAGTGGGTAGGCTAGCTAGGAGGGAACTTCGGGTGAGTGAGGTTGGGTGCAGGTTTGGCGAAGAGAAAGGCCGAAGGCGACGCGAGGAGGCTCGGCATCATTGATGTCGGCCAAACGTGCAGAGTCCGAAAAATCGGGGCTGTACGCGAAGCAGTCAACCCCGATAAGGAATTCGGGAAAATTCCTTACAAGGGTTGCTTCGCAACCCAAAAAAAATGGAGAATTCGATTGTCCAGGTCGTTTTGATTTGAATCACAGTTCATTGCACGGTGCGATCGAACTTATTTCCGAAGCCTGGATCCAGTGCACCCATACCGACATTGTTCGCCGTCACGCTACGCACAACATGGCATCGCTCGCGTCGTCTGCTCTCCTGCCGCGCGCTGCCGTTAGACCGCGATGCGCCGCGCCATTCCCCGCCTCTCGTCTCTCCGCCGCCTCCGCGCTCGGCGGACGGAAATGCCTTCCGCCACTCCCCGCGCTCTCCGTAAAGCGACGCGCCACATCTGTGCGCGCCGCTGCCGCTCCAGCGGCGCCGGTGGCGACGACGGCGGCGATGGTAAAGAGCGGCGCGCTGACTAACCTCGCGCAATCCGTCTACTCGAGCGTACTGCCAGCGGGGTTCGCGGCGGGCCTTGGGCTCACGGAAGTGTCGGTGAGTCGCGCGGGGCACGCGGTGCACGCGGTGCGGGTGGGAATGGGACCCTGCGCGCAGCGGCGAGCAGGGTGTGCGATGCAGGATGCGTTACAGTGTGAGCCATGCGATGGACCATCGTAAGAAAAGGTCGCAGTTCGCCAATGCATATCCGTCGCGCGTACATACACCATCCGTCCAGTGTACTCACTTTGAAACGTGTACTATCGGCTCGACGCCCACGCCGCGACGCCGATCCGCGTCGCGAATGCACGCCCGTGTGTGCTGTCCGTGTTGCCGCGTTGCGTGCTCACGGCAGTGCACCCTCCCGTCTGTGCTTTTGTCCGCTGCGCATGTGCGTGCCATCTTCTGTGTGTCTGTGTGGGCGGCGCAGGTTGTCCTTTTCCTCCGCGAGAGCATCGTCGGGCTGGCCACGCTCGTCGTCATCTACTGCGCGCCGCAGATCTGCCGCGCGCTCAACCAGTAAGCGCCACAGATGGGCGTGTCGCGCAGAAGCAGTGAGACGCCTACGTGGCGCGTCGCGCTGAGGCATTGGAGCTGGGAGGCCGGGGGCAAGGAGAGGCAGCGAGGCGATGGCGATGGCGAAGGGACGAACGGGGAGGCCAGGGGCAAGGAGAGGCAGCGAGGCGCTGGCGATGGCGGGCGGCACTTGTGCACGTGGGATTTGAAACGCGTGTCACCAGTCAGTGCACGCCCGCACCGTGCAGCACCTCGCAGCGCCGTGCAGTACCGCGTTTCATCGAACCACCTTTTTCTTTCACTTAATCCCTCTCTCTCCTTTTCTCTATCTCCCCCCCTGCTCCCGTTCTCCTCCACCCCCACTCCCAATCCACTCCGCCCGGCCCCTGCGCCTGCCCCTGCCCCTGCCCCTGCCCCTGCGCCTGCCCCTGCCCCTCCCAGCGTGTGGGCGACGTACGTGATGGCGGACGAGGAGGTGACGGAGGAGGAGTTCAGCGACAGCATGTTCGGCGCGCTCGTCCGCCCCATGCAGTTCGCGCTCGCTTCTGCCTTCCTCACGCGCCAGTCAGTCCCTCCCTTCTCCGCCTCTCTGCCGTGCCGCCTCTTCATCGCATCGCTCCATCGCCTTGTTGCCCACCTGCTGTCGTTTTTCTGCTCACGTTTCCTCACATGCTCACTCACTCATATCCCACTCCCCCTCCTTCCCCATTTGCCCCCTCCCCCGTTCCCCCGTCCCCCTCCCTCTTCCCCCATCCCCATTTGTCCCTTCCCCATTCCCTCTCCCCCTTCCAACTTCCCCTTTCCCCTTTTCCCCGTCCCTCTTCCCCCTTCCCTCGTTCCACTTCCCCCTTCCCGTTTCTCCCGTCCCTCTTTCCCCTCCTCTCCCCCTCCAATGGCAGTCTGCAGATGCTGGTACCAGCTCTACGGCAGGCGGCGCAGGCGGCGCTGATGTGCATGTGTATGTGCATGTGCCCCTTTTCCCCTTTTCCCCTTCCCCTCCCCCCATCCCCCTCCCACACACCGCAGTCTGCACATGCTGGTACCGGCGCTGAGGCAGGCAGCGCAGGCGGCGCTGATGGCGAGGGCGAGGGGCGTGGCGCTGGTGGTGGCGGCGGCGTGGTTGCCATTCCCCCGTCCCGCCGTCCCCCCCACCCCAACCCCCCCACACATCGCAGTCTGCACATGCTGGTACCAGCGCTACGGCAGGCGGCGCAGGCGGCGCTGATGTGCATGGGTATGTGCATGTGCCCTTTTTCCCCTTCCCCTCCCCCCATCCCCCTCCCACACACCGCAGTCTGCACATGCTGGTACCGGCGCTGAGGCAGGCGGCGCAGGCGGCGCTGATGGCGAGGGCGAGGGGCGTGGCGCTGGTGGTGGCGGCGGCGTGGTTTGGCATCGGGTGGAAGGACCGCATCCTCAAGCTCGTGGCTGACAAACGCCCCGAGGACAAGGTGAGACACGGTGGGACATGGCAGGGCATGGTGTGAGACATGGCATGGCATGGCCTGGTGAGACAAGGTGGGGCATGGCATGGCATCGCATGGCGTGCCATGGTTTGGCATCGCATGGAAGGACCGCCTCTTGACGCTCGTGGCTGACAAACGCCCCGAGGACAAGGTGAGACACGGTGGGGCATGGCGTGCCTTGGCATGGCATAGTGTGGCATGGGTGTGACATGGCATGGGATAGTGTGGCATGGGTGCGGCGTGGCATGGAGGGGCGTGGCATGGAGTGGCGTGGCAAGGAGTCCTTCTCCAATCCGCTGGCCCTCTCCATTCCCTATCTCAGCATCCACCTCCCCTTTCCCCCTCCTCTTCACCCCACCCCCCTCATGCAGCCGGTGCTGGCGAACGTGAGTGCGGTGCTGACGCTGCTGCTGCGCGTGCTGGCGGGCATCACCATCTCACGCCTCCCTCACTGCCACTCCTGCTTGCCCTCTTCATGCGTCCCCCTCTCCCCTTCCCCCTACAACAGCCGGTGCTGGCGAACGTGAGTGCGGTGCTGACGCTGCTTCTGCGGGTGTTGGCGGGCATCACCATCGCTGACATGTGCGGCGTCAGCCTCAAGTCGCTCATCGCCATCGGTGGCATCTCAGGTGCGATGAGGGGCATCTCGGGTGTGGCATCCCCATCCCCATCACCATCCCCATCGCTGACATGTGCGGCGTCAGCCTCAAGTCGCTCATCGCCATCGGTGGCATCTCAGGTGAGCTGTGCGCCGTGCATTCACACGCACCTCAGGTGCGCCATTCATTCAAGTGCATCTCAGGTGTGCCGCATGCGCCCCAGCCCCATCCCCATCCCCATCCCCATCCCCAGCCCCAGCCCCAGCCCCATCCCCATCCCCATCCCCATCCACTCCATCCCCATCCCCATCCCCATCCCCATCCCCATCCCCATCCCCATCCCCATCCCCATCCCCATCATCCCCATCCCCATCCCCATCCCCATCCCATCCCATCCCCATCCCCATCCCCATCCCCATCCCCATCCCCATCCCATCCCCATCCCCATCCCCATCCCCATCCCCATCCCCATCCCCATCCCCATCCCCATCCCCATCCCCATCCCCATCCCCATCCCCATCCCCATCCCCATCCCCATCCCCATCCCCATCCCCATCCCCATCCCCATCCCCATCCCCATCCCCATCCCATCCCCATCCCCATCCCCATCCCCATCCCCATCCCCATCCCATCCCCATCCCCATCCCCATCCCCATCCCCATCCCCATTCCCCATCCCCATCCCCATCCCCATCCCCATCCCATCCCCATCCCCATCCCCATCCCCATCCCCATCCCATCCCCATCCCCATCCCATCCCCATCCCCATCCCCATCCCCATCCCCATCCCCATCCCCATCCCCATCCCCATCCCCATCCCCATCCCCATCCCCATCCCATCCCCAGCCCCATCCCCATCCCCATCCCCATCCCCATCCCCATCCCCATCCCCATCCCCATCCCCATCCCATCCCCATCCCCATCCCCATCCCCATCCCCATCCCCATCCCCATCCCCCATCCCCATCCCATCCCCATCCCCATCCCCATCCCCATCCCCATCCCCATCCCCATCCCCATCCCCATCCCCATCCCCATCCCCATCCCCATCCCCATCCCCATCCCCATCCCCATCCCCATCCCCATCCCCATCCCCATCCCATCCCCATCCCCATCCCCATCCCCATCCCCATCCCCATCCCCCATCCCCATCCCATCCCCATCCCCATCCCCATCCCCATCCCCATCCCATCCCATCCCCATCCCCATCCCCATCCCCATCCCCATCCCCATCCCCATCCCCATCCCATCCCCATCCCCATCCCCATCCCCATCCCCATCCCCATCCCCATCCCCCATCCCCATCCCATCCCCATCCCCATCCCCATCCCCATCCCCATCCCCATCCCCATCCCCATCCCCATCCCCATCCCCATCCCCATCCCCATCCCCATCCCCATCCCCATCCCCATCCCCATCCCCAGCCCCATCCCCATCCCCATCCCCATCCCCATCCCCATCCCCATCCCATCCCCATCCCCATCCCATCCCCATCCCCATCCCATCCCCATCCCCATCCCCATCCCCATCCCCATCCCCATCCCCATCCCCCCACATACCCTCCCCATCCCCTCCCCATCCCCATCCCCATCCCCATCCCCATCCCCATCCCCATCCCCATCCCATCCCCATCCCCATCCCCATCCACCCATCCCCAGCCCCAGCCCCATCCCCATCCCCATCCCCATCCCCATCCCCATCCCCATCCCCATCCCATCCCCCTCCCATCCCCATCCCCATCCCCATCCCTCATCCCCATCCCCATCCCCATCCCATCCCCATCCCCATCCCCATCCCATCCCCCATCCCCATCCCCATCCCCATCCCCATCCCCATCCCATCCCCATCCCCATCCCCATCCCATCCCCATCCCCATCCCCATCCCATCCCCATCCCATCCCCATCCCCATCCCCATCCACATCCCCATCCCCATCCCCATCCCCATCCCCATCCCCATCCCATCCCCATCCCCATCCCATCCCCATCCCCATCCCCATCCCCATCCCCATCCCCATCCCCTCCCATCCCCATCCCTCCCCATCCCCATCCCCATCCCCATCCCCATCCCCATCCCCATCCCCATCCCCATCCCATCCCCATCCCCATCCCCATCCCCATCCCCATCCCCATCCCCATCCCCATCCCCATCCCCATCCCCATCCCCATCCCCATCCCCATCCCCATCCCCATCCCCATCCCCATCCCCATCCCCATCCCCATCCCCATCCCCATCCCCATCCCCATCCCCATCCCCATCCCCATCCCCATCCCCATCCCCATCCCCATCCCCATCCCCATCCCCATCCCCATCCCCATCCCCATCCCCATCCCCATCCCCATCCCCATCCCCATCCCCATCCCCATCCCCATCCCCATCCCCATCCCCATCCCCATCCCCATCCCCATCCCCAGCCCCAGCCCCAGCCCCAGCCCCATCCCCATCCCCATCCCCATCCCCATCCCATCCCCATCCCCATCCCCATCCCCATCCCCATCCCCATCCCCATCCCCATCCCCATCCCCATCCCCATCCCCATCCCCATCCCCATCCCCATCCCCATCCCCATCCCCATCCCCATCCCATCCCCATCCCCATCCCCATCCCCATCCCCATCCCCATCCCCATCCCAATCCCCATCCCTTTGCATTGCATCACTGCGCCAGGCTTCGCGTTGGCATTCGCATCTGAGAAGGTGGTGACAAACTTTTTGGTGGGCTCGTGCTGGTGCTCGTGTGACCCCACCCAAAGGTCACTCCCCTTCCCCCCCGCTCTCCCACACTCTCCCCCCTTTTCCCCCAACCCCCTCCCCAATCTCCCCCCAGGTTTCGCGTTGGCGTTTGCATCTGAGAAGGTGGTGACCAACTTCTTTGGCGGGCTCGTGCTGGTGCTCACACAGCCGTTCGCGGTGCGCGAGAAGATCAAAGTGGCGGGGCTGAAGGGCAAGGTGCAGGAGATCGGCTTCCTGCACACGACGATTGAAGGCGATGATTTGTCGCCCATCATCATTCCCAACTCCATCTTCACCTCCGCTGTGAGCGCTCCTCTCTATACCGCTGCTGTCTGATCCGAACCTTGTTGGTGGTTGGTGGTGGTGAGGCCTGGGGAGTGGGAGGGGCTGGATTTGGCTTCAGCTGCCTTCTTTATGGCGCTGGTTTCTGGAATCAGGTGGTGGCTTGAAAAGGAAACAAAGAAACAGAGACATGGTGGCAGTGAGGCACGGGAGAAGGTCCGAGTGGCGGGGCTGAAGGGCAAGGTGCAGGAGATCGGGTTCCTGCACACCACCATCGAGGGAGACGATCTCTCGCCCATCATCATCCCCAACTCCATATTCACCTCCGCTGTGAGCCACCTCTCCCTTCTATAGCTTGCCTTTGGAAAGCGTTGGTGTGCATGGGATGGGAGCGGGGCTGAAGGGCAAGGTGCAGGAGATCGGCTTCCTGCACACCATCATCGAGGGGGACGACCTGGCGCCCATCATCATCCCCACCTCCATCGTCACCTCCGCTGTGAGCACTCTTCCTTTCATTCTTTCTATAGCTCGCCTCTGGAAATAGTAGGTCTTGAGGCAGGAAGTAAGCAAGAGGAGCAAGCATGGTGGTGGGGAGGGACGGGGGGTGGGAGGGGCCGGACTTGGCGTGACACTGGGCACCAGCCGCCAGGCAAGGGCAAGGTGCAGGAGATGGGGTTCATCATCATCATCAACTCCACACTGGAGGGGGACGACCTGGCGCCCATCATCATCCCCAACTCCACATTCACCTCCGCTGTGAGCGCTCTTTCCATCACCTAGCTTACGAGTATATGACCACGTCCTGGTGGCGATGGGGCTTGGGGTTTAGAGGCATGGCAGGTGAGCGCTCTTTCTCTCATCACCTAGCTTAGGAATATATTACCACCGCCTGGTGCTGATGGGCCACGGGGTTTAGAAGAGGCATAGCGGGTGGGAGGCATGAGTACGGTAGGGCCTGGACGTGAAGTGGGCAATGCGGCAGCCATGCCTGCCTGCACACCATGCTGCAGGGGGACGACCTCGCGCCCATCATGGTGCCCAACGCCATCTTCACCTCCTCCGTGAACGTTCATTACACCACCTGGAATCAAAGACTTATTGAAGGGGGCATGGTGGTGGTGAGGCATGGGGGTTGGGAGGCAGTGCATGTGGGAGGCATGAGAATGGTAGAGGCTGGACGTGAAGTGGGCAGTGCGGCAGCCATGCCTGCCTGCACACCATGCTGCAGGGGGACGACCTCGCGCCCATCATCGTGCCCAACTCCATCTTCACCTCCTAGTGAGTGCTTTTTCTATCACCTAGAATGAAAGATAATAGAAAGCATGCTGGTTGTGAGGCATGGGGGTTGGGAGGCATGAGAATGGTAGGGGCTGACGTGAAGTGGGCATGGCGGCAGCCATGCCTTCCTGCACACCACGCTGCAGGGGGATGACCTCGCGCCCATCATCGTCCCCATTGCCAACGCCATCTTCACCTCCTCAGTGAGCCGCCTTCATACTACCTTGCTTCAAACATGAAAGTGTATCACCTTAAGACCTAAGCGCTGCAGGGGGGTGACCTCGCACCCATCATCGTTGTCCCCAACGCCATCTTCAATCCCCCCGTGGTCCCTCTGCTCCCTCGCAACTTGGCCCTCCCACTCCTCCCTCACGAGACATCCACCACCCCTCCTCTGCCCACCACAACGGCTCATGCCCTGCCAACCACCCCCGTCTCGCTCCCCGTCCTGGCCCATTTCCCTCTGCCCCATTTCCCTCTGCCCCATTTCCCTCTGCCCCATTTCCCTCTGCCCCATTTCTTCCTGCCCCATTTCCCTCTGCCCCATTTCTTCCTGCCCCATTTCCCTCTGCCCCATTTCTTCCTGCCCCATTTCTTCCTGCCCCATTTCCCTCTGCCCCATTTCTTCCTGCCCCATTACTTCCGCATTCGTGTTGCGGCATGAGGATGTGACTCGCGTGAAGGCCATCACCCACGCACTCACCGCCTCCTCCTTTGTGTGCCACCCCTGCCGCCCCTCCTCCTGCCCACTGCCCCCGCCCATTGCAACCACCTCCCCCACCCCCAACAGGTGATCACAAACCTCACTCGCGCGGGGTGCAAGACGATGGAAGCAGCATTCGTGTTGCGGCACGAGGACGTGCCTCGAGTGAAGGCCAGAATCACCCACGCACTCACGGCATACCTGCAGCAGCACAGCACCCTTGACCCTCCCGCTCCTCCCCCATGTGACACCCACCACCCCTCTGCTTGTGCCCCATCTCCTGCCACACTGCCCCCCTCCTCCCTCCGCCCTCACCCCGTCCCCTGTCAGGTGATCACAAACCTCACGCGCGCGGGCTGCAAGACACTGGAGGCGGCGTTCGTGCTGCGCCACGAGGACGTGCCGCGAGTGAAGGCCATCACGCACGCCCTCACGGCATACCTGCAGCAGCACCCCCGGGTGGACCGCAGCAAGGGCCCCGCCATGGGGTATCTGAAGCAGCTCACTGGGTCGGGGCTGCAGATCGGTGTTGTGGCGTCTATCAAAGACATGGTGCGTGCATGGTGCGTGCATGGTGGGTGCATGGTGGGCGGATTGAGGGGAGGGATGGGGGGCCATGGGGTACCTCAAGCAGCTCACTGGCTCTGTGCTGCAGATTGGTGTCGTGGCGTCCATTAAAGACATGGTGGGCGGTGGGATGGTTAGCGGGTGGTTGCATGGGATAGAGGGTGGTTGCATGGGATAGAGGGTGGTTGCATGGGATAGAGGGTGGTTGCATGGGATAGAGGGTGGTTGCATGGGATAGAGGGTGCATGGACGGAATGGGGGGTGTATTGAGTGTGCGTGAATGGCAGCACTGCCATCATTGGCAGCAGCACCCAGGGCGGACAAAAGCAATGGCACCGCCATGGGGTACCTCAAGCAGCTCACTGGCTCGGGGCTGCAGATTGGTTTCGTGGTGGGTGGTGGGGAGAGGATGGGGGCGCAAGGGGGAATGGATGGGGGTGCATGGGGAGGGGATGGGGGGGCGCATGGGGGGAAGGATGGGGGGGCGCATGGGGGAAAGGATGGGGGGTTGCATTGGGGGGCCATGGGGTACCTGAAGCAGCTCACGGGGCCAGGGCTGCAGATTGGTGGTGTGGCTTCCATCACAGACATGGTGGGTGCATGGGGCGGAGGGATGGTGGGCATCATCATGAGCCACTCCCTCTCCCCACCTTCTTCCTCTCCCTCTCGTGCCATCACCCCCCGTCGCCCTCCCTCCCCTCCCCCCTTCTCCCCCCCATCAGAGCAAGGGCAAGTTCCTACCGATACAGCAGGAGATACTGGAGAAGAGCGTGGAGATCATTCTGGCGGAGGGCGCACTGCTGGGCGAGAGCGCGCCCTATGTGCCCTCCGCCTCCAATGGCGCCGCTGCCTCCTCCTATGCCGCGTAAGACCTAAGACCCCACCCCCTCTCCTCCTATGCCGCGTAAGACCTAAGACCCCACCCCCTCTCCTCCTATGCCGCGTAAGACCTAAGACCCCACCCCCTCTCCTCTTATGCCGCGTAAGACCTAAGACCCCACCCCCTCTCCTCCTATGCGTGGAGATCATCCTAGGGGAGGTCGCACTGCTGGGCGAGAGTGCTCCCTTTGAACCCTCCGCCTCCGATGGCGCCGCTGCCTCCTCCTATGCCGCGTGAGCCCCCTCCCCTCCTCCTATGCTGCGTGAGCCCCCTCCCCCCCTCTGCCATGAGCCGTGCCTCACGGTTATCATGCATGCGTTTTGCCTTCACCATGTGCATCACACACAATGCATTCCCAATGACCATGCCACTTTTGAGCCAAATTCAAAAGTCGTTTTGCCAACACGAAGCACATCACACACAATGCATTCCCCATAACCATGCCGCATGGACAAGTCACCATCCCCTCTGCTGCTCGCCCATGCCCCTGCTCGCCCATGCCCCTGCTCGCCCATGCCCCTGCTGGCCCATGCGCGTGCTGGCATGTGCACACGCCGCCGCTATCCCGTGCTGCACCCCTCTCCCCCCCCTTTGAGTCGACTCAAAACTCAACTCTATCCCGTCGTGCACCCCTCTCCCCCCCCTTTGAGTCGACTCAAAACTCAACTCTATCCCGTCGTGCACCCCTCTCCCCCCCCTTTGAGTCGACTCAAAACTCAACTCTATCCCGTCGTGCACCCCTCTCCCCCCCCTTTGAGTCGACTCAAAACTCAACTCTATCCCGTCGTGCACCCCTCTCCCCCCCCTTTGAGTCGACTCAAAACTCAACTCTATCCCGTCGTGCACCCCTCTCCCCCCCCTTTGAGTCGACTCAAAACTCAACTCTATCCCGTCGTGCACCCCTCTCCCCCCCCCTGCCAGGCGCAAGAACCTCCTGTGGCAGCGCCACCGCCGCAGCGCCGCACTCCAGTAGGCACGGCACAGCGCTGGAGGCATGGCACAGCAGCGAGGGCACAGAAGAGCACAGCGAGGTGGTGGGGTGGGGAAACTCACAGGGGCAGCATTGTTGGTGTGTGTTGGGGTATCCGTTATGTCGCATAACCCACACAGGACAGACGTACGGATAACGGGGATGTAACGTGTGGGTAACACAGCAGCTACAGGGGTATGGGTGAGAAAAGGCTGTTTTGGTTTCCTTGAAAACCAGGTAGGGGTGTGGTCCCGAGGAACGATTTTAATCACAAATACGGTAGCTGGGGGGAGATCTGGTGGAGAAGTGGTTGGGAGAAGTCGACTGGTAGGTTGTTGGCAGCAGAGTCTCGTCTCGAGAGTTGGGCAGGAAGAATGGAAGGATGGGCCACTGTGGCAAGGCAGCATGCACCACGGGCGGGCTTGCTGCCCATCCAGCCGAGGGATGAGCGAGCGCCATCCCAACCTGAGGATGTGCGGCGGTCAGTCAGTCCCTCAAGCATGGGGGGATTTCAGGAGGGCTGGCAGCTACGGTAGGTAGTAGTTCAGCAAGCATGGCAATGGAGTAGGATTTGCTTAGATTCTTGTTTACTTTTGCTCTACTGGAATCTTGCCTCTCCCGTCTGGAACAAGCTCAGAACATGAAACTGAGGCAGCCCACCCGTTGTGTCATAGGGAAGGGAGAAGCTTGTTGCGTGCAACCTGTTCTGAGGCAGAAGTGACGTCGCAAACAAAGGGGAGAAATGGCCAAGACCAGTGAACAAGGAAGCATTGGGTGGAAGAGGAGGATGACAGCTGATGGCTGAGCCTCGAGAGGGGTAAGGTCAGGTCAAGGCGCGCCAATTACCTACACTAGGGCAGTCGCCCGTCGCGCTGGTGAGTGCCACCGGTAGGTACGGTGTAGGTAGATACGTCGGGCGTGTTCAAGCAGTGCAAGGCAAATGTGAAGTGACCAACCATAAAATGGTTTTATAGCTCAAGTACGGTAGGTGTTTTATATACAATGAGGAGCAAGTAACAAGAGCACCTGGCATGGATAGGGGCCAAACACTACCACCAATGATGAGCAAATAACTTTGTGGCTGCACACACCAGCAGCAGCATCAGTCATGTACGTGCCCCCTTTGAACCAAGCAGTGAGCCCCTCTCTCAGCAGCAGTTAGCAGCGCGCTTGCACCGCCATGCCTTGGCCCGCGCCTCCTTTCTCCCCCGCTTCTTCCCCTCCATCCTCCCACCCTCCCCCTCCCGCCCTCGCTTGCCACCACCCCCCCTGCCCTCCCTTCTCCCCCCTTCCCCTTTTGCACCCCTCCCTCTGCCCATCCCTGTGCCCCCCTCCCTGCCATGGCTGCTGCTTCCCAAGCTGCTGCCCGCGCTGCCATGGCCATGCCAGCTCGCCGCTGCAGCACGCTCCACCAAGCCCCTGCGCTGCTCCCCATCCTCTCCCTCCTCCCCTTGCTGCCCGCCCTCCTCCCTCACCGCACTCTCGCCCTCCTCTCCCCCACTCTCCACCTCCCCCTCATTCTCTCCTTCCCCTGCTCCCTCCCCCTCCCCCTCCCCCTGTGCCTGCCCCAGTGACCCCAAGCCATCCTCCCCACCTGCCCTCTCGCCCTCTGCCTCCATCCCGCCTTCCCCTTCCCCCTCCACTTCTCCTCCCGCCTCCCCTCCCTCTCTTGCTGCTGCGCCCTCCAATCCCCCAGTCTCCGCACTGCCCCTGTCTGCCCCACTCGCACCCCCCCCAGCCGCCTCTCCTCCTTCTGCCCCTCCTCCGCCTGCTTCCGTTCCCGCCTGAACCCCCGCTCCCCCCGCTCCTCCCCCCCGCGCCCGCCCCGCGCGCCTCTTCCTGGGCTTCACCCCCACGAACTCGCCCCCTCCGCGCCTCCCCCGCACCACGTGCACGCTGAGCCCGCACACGCCCACCTCCGCGTCGTCCCCCACCGCCGCGCACCCCCACACGTCCAGGTGGCGCAGCCCCTCCGCGCGCGCCAGCCCTGCGGGCAGCTCCGCCAGCGCGGAGCACTCGCGCAGGTGCAGGGAGTGCAGCGCGCGGACGGACCCGAGGTCAGGGGGGAGCGCGGCGAGCGATGGGCAGTACGAGAGCGAGAGGACGCGGAGCGCGGGCAGGCGGGGGAGCGACGCGGGGAGGCGCGCGAAGGTGCGGCAGTGGTTGATCGCGAGGCGCGCGAGGCGCGGCAGCGGCGCGAAGTCGTCGGGGAGGTGCGTGAGGAGGTCGCAGCTGGTGACGTCGAGCGACTCGAGCGCGGGAAGATGTGCGAGGGACGCGGGGAGGCGGGCGAGCGCGGAGCAGCGCTCGAGGGCGAGGCGCTTGAGCGCGCGCAGCTGGCCGAGTTTGTCCGGGAGGGCGCGCAGTGCGGGGCACGCGGTGAGGGAGAGCGTGTGGAGGTGCGGGAGGGCGCAGAGGGACGCGGGGAGCGCGGCGAGGGAGAGGCAGTCCGAGACGCGGAGCTCCTCCAGACACGTCAGCCCGCCCAGTGTGTCCGGGAGCGCCGCAATTGGCACGTTCGTTATAGTCAGCTCCTTTAACGCACCCAGCTGGCCGATGGAATTCGGCAGAGCGGTGAGCGCGCCGCACGAGGTCATGCTGAGGTGCGTCAGCGCGCCGAGCCCGCTTATGCCGGCGGGAATGGCGGTGAGCGCGGTACACCGCAGCACGACCAGCGTCTGCAGCGTCGTAAGGCGGCCGAGCGACGCGGGCAGGCTCCGCAGCGCGGGGCAGTCCTCCAGCTCGAACGACTCGAGCGCCGCCAGCTGGCCGAGCGATCCGGGAATCGAGGAGAGCTCGGACGCGATAGAGACTTTGAGCGCGCGGAGGGCGGAGAGCGCGGAGAGCGCGGGGGGGAGGCGCTCGATGTGCATCAGGCGGACGAGCGAGAGCGACGTGAGAGCGGTGAGGCGGCAGACGACGGGGGGGAAGGAGTAGAGCGCGGAGAGGTCCGACAGCGTGAGCGCGCGCAGGAACGGCGCGAGCGCGGCGAGCGCGGGGGGGAGGTGGGTGAGGCGCGAGCAGGATTGGAGCGTGAGCGACTGCAGCGACGTGAGGCGCGAGACGCGCGCGGGGAGCGCGACGAGCTGCGTGAAGCCATGCAGCCCGAGGTGCGTCAGCGCCGGCAGCGCCCACAGCGCGGTCGGCAGGCGGCGCAGTCGGCCGAGCGGCGCGCGGAACGCCATGTGCAGCTCCAGGTGGCGCAGCGCGGGGGCCAGCGGAGGCGGGGGAGGGGCGGGCTGCACGGCAGTAGCAGTGGCCTCAGCGGTGCTTGCAGCCCCGTCGGGTTCGCGGTCAGCCGCGCCGCCCGCGTCCCGTGCTTCCGCATCTTCTTCCTCCTCGCCCGCCTCCGCCTCCGCCTCCGCCCAATCCCCCATCAGCGAATCAAGACTCGACACGTTCTTCAGCACCACGTGCGCAAGTCGCGGCAGCGCCAGCAGCGAGCGCGGCAGCGCGCTCAGCGACCCGTACGGCGCCAGCACCAGCCGCTCCAGTGACGTCAGCATCCCGATTGACGCGGGAAGCGCGGTGAGCGGCGCCTCGACGATCTCAAGCTCGCGGAGGGCTGGCGCCGCGCCGATATCGTCGGGGAGGGCGCGGAGGCTGCGGCACTGGCGGATGGTGAGGAGCGCGAGAGACGCGAGCGAGATGGGCGGAAGGTGGTCCGTGTGGACGTCCTCCAGGCGCAGCTCCTCCAGCTTGCGCCACTCCGCCCCCACGTTCGGCAGCGCGCACGAGATGTTGCGCAAGTGCAGGCGGCGCAACTCCTTGAGCGCGCCGATGCTCTCCGGAATGCCCCCCAGGCGGTACCACCCGTGAATTTCCAGCGCCGTCAGCGCGCTTAGCGCGCCGAGCTGCGCGGGGAGCTGGCTCATCTCGCGGCAGTTCGACAGACAGAGGCGGGACAGCCGCGGGAGCTGCCCGACGGACGCGGGGAGGCTCGTGAGTTTGGGGCAGACGACGGAGAGCTCCTCCAGAGCGCGCAGCGCGCCGAGCTCGTCGGGCAGAACGCGGAGGCGCTTCAGACAGAGCTTGAGCACGCGCAGCGACGAGAGCGACGCGAGCGAGGAAGGAAGCTTCGTGATGTGGCCGAGGCTGTGCTTCAAGGTGAGCTCCTCGAGGCGCGACGCGCTGCGGAGGAAGCGGCCAAGGCAGGTGAGCGTGATGCGGAAGTGCGGCGCGCCGGTGTACTGCGGCTCGTCCAGGCGCAGGCGGGAGAGCTGCGGGCACGCGGAGGGCAGCGCGCGCAGAAACGGGTCGTTGAAAAGATCGACGCTCTTGTCGCCTAGCGTGAGCGAGTTCACGTTGGGGAAGCGCGCCAAGCCGCGCAGCAGCTCGCCCGCGTGGAGGTGGCGCGGGGCGCTGACGAGGACGGCCTGCTGCGAGAGTTGCGCCAGGCGCAGCCAGCGGCGGCACACGAGCGCGTGGTGCAAAGTCTCACCGCCAGAGGCGCGTGTGAGAATTGCGGAAAGCACGTCGTCGGGCAAATCGTTAATTGAATCCTTGCCCAGCAGGAGCGCGCCTTCTACTAGTTCCAAATCAAGTGGCTCTTCCACGTCGACCGCATCCCGCGGTACGGTCGCTGCGTCCATGGCTGCTGCGGATAGACTGCCTCCGTGCGACGTGGCGTCGCTCTGGAAAACCTAGGTATGCTGGGGAACTGGGATGAGGAGACGTAAAAATGGCTCTAGGGAGCGGGAGAGGTGATGGGAGAGGAAGAGCCGAATGGGGCAGGCGTGTGCATGCAGCCCTCTCATTAGCTGGTGGACTGCAGTTCTCATTCGAATGCCGACCATGCTTTTGCTTGCAGTCTTCACTACCACCAGCGCGCTTCTTATGTACTCCCCACTCTGCTCGGACTGGCAGCGGGATGCGGGACGTCATCCTGACGAGCGGCGCTGGTGATGTGATTGAATGAGGCGGGAGGGGGGGCCGCGGGGAACAGCGAAGGTTGGGCCTGCTCCCCGCAAAATTGGGTGCTTGCGCGGTTTCATTCTGCCAAGCCGAGGGCCGGGGGCGGAGCGTGATGGCGCGGAAAGGAATGGGGCGGGAGCGGAGCGTTTCAGTGACGCGATAATCTTGATGGCATGGAAACACTGTACTGTAGCAGGTTGGCTCATGGGGCGAGCTTTCCTTTGCGGGACTCTGCTGGGGGAGTTGACGTGCAGTGCGGCTTGGACCGGACGTCCAGCTGACGCCAAACCAGGCGAGGGAATATCCCCGTTTAGATGGACATTAGCAAGACAACATGCAAACTCATGCCTTACCCATACAATTTGTCATAATGTATATTATGTAATAGTAAACAGAACCGTTGTAACATTAGTAGAGGAATATGCTTGTAACCGTTGTTGCTAAGCTCCTCGTTGCATGAAAGCGACCCCATTGGAAGTTTAGATCCATACTATTGTGAAGGCTCTCGTTCTCCATTACCAGACTTCATTCACTGTCATGATGTGTTGGCCCAGAGAGGAATCACGTGATGTGCCCACGGGTCGTGAGAGCGCAGAGCCCGCGAAGTGCCGTGAGACCAGCCTCAAGGCTGCAACTGCTCACGACGAGTGCCCAGCAGCACCCAGATCCAGGTAAGCCTACATGCACGGGTCCTTCACTATCCTTTCTCTTCCTGCTCACAACGGGCCCTTCTTGCTCACAGCCGGCAACACCTGCTGCCGGGTTTGGGTCCGCCACACGCCTTGAAGCCGATGGGACAGCAGCCCCACGTGCGCGTCGTGACGTTGCGGAAGCACGCACCCACCTTGCAGCACATGATGCCCCCGCAGCACGAGTACTCGTGTGTGTCCTGCGCCGCCGCCAGTAGCCGCGCCGGACAGTGCGTTGGGAGGGATGGAAAGGTAAGAAAGGGACACGATAGTCAGCCAAAGAGAGGAAGCGGGCGTGACGGGGAAAACGTGCGAATGTATGGACACGAGATTCCGGCAACACCTCGTTCGCTCGCGCCTCGTTCAGCACCGCATTCTCGGTCGCTCGCAACTCGTCGCTCAAAGCTCTTCGCTCGAAAATCGTCGCTCACAGCTCTTCCGCTCACGACTCTTCCGCTCACGCGCACACCCTGCCTCCTTTCCCCCCAGGGACCCGCAACAGTGCCTCTCTGCTGGAAGGAGCCCGTCTCGCCGCCTCGCAGTCGCCGAATTGACGTTTCAGTTTCACCGCCAGCACGACTCACGATGCAGCAGGCGCCGCTGCAGTAGATGCGGGGCTTCTGGCAGCCAGGGTACCCGGCCATGGCGCACACGCCCGTGTTTGGCTTTGAACACTTCACCTTCCCCTTCGCCGCCGCCACCAAAAGCTCCCGCCGCCCTGCTTGCTCCGCCGATGACGCGACGACCGCGTGACCATCAGCGAAAATCGCCGTCGTCGCGACTCCGTCGCCTTTCTTAAAGGCTGAGTCGGCTAGCGGAAGGAGCGCGACGATGGTTATCAGTAGAAACGTCACAGCATTCGATTTCATCGTGAAGGCTGAACGAGTAGCCTATAAAGTATAATTAACAGGGAAGCGGGACGAAGAGATCAGCTGTCTCAAATTAATCTCACAACAATTACGAACTACAAAGCGTTCCATACAACCTTCTTGCAGGCTGGGAGAAACACGGGGACAGGAGTCGCAAACAGTGTGGTTAGAGGCAGACAGTTAGAAAAGGGGCCAATTGGAAGTGCCTTTGAACTCCATCAAGCTCAATCAAAGCCCAACCCAGCTCTCAATTCCGTCACTCTTCTCATTGCTTGCTGGTCGCGCCAGATGCACGTGAAGCTCGTGTGCGACTCGATATGGTGGAAGGAGGCGATTACTCGGGGGAGAATTTTTTCGCTAAGGGGGAGGCGACTTTTGAGTGGAGGGGTTTTGTGTGATGTGATGTGATGATGGTCGGTGTTATGTGGTTCGGAGCCAGCCTCGGTGGTTCGGAATGCTGGTCTGGTGAAGTCTGGTGCCTCAGGTTTGGCTGTTCCTTGGTTCGCGGTCTTGGCGAGGCTCGGTGCGCCTGTGATTCTTCGTGGAAAGGGTCAGGGGGGTTTAGGGTGCAGGTATGGGAAGGCTTCTTCTCAACCATACCGAATCCCGAACCGATTCCCGCACACACGCGCGCGTGCACAAACCCTCTTCGATTTTCCCTGGGACGGAAGCGCAGCTGACGGCGCTCTCAATACTGTCACAGGTTCGGCGTACAAATATCGACCAAGCACCAGCAAGCACCTGGTCATTGCTTCGTCACGGAGTGCTGTGGTAGTCCCACTTGTGTAAGGACTCCAACTATAATAAGCGTCATGTGGAAGCCTCTTAAAAGGCAAAGCAGTTCTCCCTTTACCCCTTCATCTACCACTGTTATCATTCACTGGACGAACTCACTACCAACTCCTGGCTGAAAAGGAAATTAAAATTGAGTTACACTACAAGTTACTATTGACACTCAAAATAACGTGTCACACCCATGTCTGCAACTTATGGTTGGGAATAATGATGAGTGTATTATGTTGACAGTGACGGTATAGGTGAGGTTAAGTACTTCCTATTATTGTGTTCATACATATCAACTCAACAGAATTATGCTGCTGGTGTGCCTGTCCAGCGCATTACCCAAATCGGTTACTATACATATCAACCCTAACAGCAAAGAAGACATTAAATCTGGAAAAAGAAGCACATGCATTTCTGGCACCAGCGTACCTACCATTCTGCTTTCTACACGATCCCATCACTCTGCCTAGTAGGTAGAAGCTAACGGCTTTCACTGCTCGAATCTCAGCTATTCCAGCAGCATCGCCGGCCACCCTGGCAGGCCTTCTTCCCCAGCGGGCAGCAGTCCCACTGCCCTCTCTTGCGCTCGTAACACGCCCCCTTGCGACAGCACATGCGCCCCCCGCAGCATGGGTACTCGTGTGCGTCCTGCCATGCACGGGTTGTGGCGGGTGAGATGGGCGGTGAGATGGGGGTTGAAATGGGGGATGAGACTTGGGTGAGATGGGCGGTGGGATGGGGGTTGAAATGGGGGATGAGATTTGGGTGAGATGGGCGGTGGGATGGGGGTTGAAATGGGGGGTGAGATTTGGGTGAGAAGGGGGTGAGATGGGGAGTGAGATGGGGGATGAGATGGCGGGTGAGATTTGGGTCAGATGGGGGGTGAGATTTGGGTGAGATGGGGGGGTGAGATTTGGGTCAGATGGGGGTTGAGTAGGGAGGTTAGATGGGACGGAATGGGAGCGGAATGGGGAGGGGAATGGGAGATGAATGGGAGGAAAGAGAGAATGGGAGGAAACCGTAAGGAGAACCGGCGCAAGGCGGCAATGGTGGGGAATCGGCGCGAATGGAGAGGGAAATAGGATGGAAACGGGAACGAAACGGGAGGGAAATGGGAGAGGCATGGTGAGTGGGATGGGACAGGAGGGAGAACGGAAGGGGAATGGGAGGCCAATGAGAGAAAGATGGGAGGAGGATGGGAGGAGGATGGGAGGAGGATGGGAGAGAAACGGGAGGGGAACGAAGGAATCGGGGATCGGACGGGGAATAGGAAACGAATGGGATGGGAATGGTGAGGGAATGGTAATCGTATGGGAGGGGACTGAGAGGGGAATAGACGGGGAACGGACGGTGTAGTATGGGGGGTTTGTTAGCGGTGCCAACCCACAGAGCAGCCGCATTCACGAGGCGACCTAGCGTGTGAGCCAGCCAACGTGCCCCCTTGGACGTCAACGACTCTCAAACGACGCGCGTGAGTAGAGTGCGAGTGTGTGGAAGAGCTTGGAACCTGTCCGCAGGGCGGCCGGGCCTGCTTCGGTTCTTGCATGCGAAGGCGCGAAGATACGCAGCGCCGTCAGTACTTGCTGACGGGGTGACGCGATCAGGGATTCTGAGCCCCTTTGCCCCACCGCGCGATCGAGACACGACGCACAACAGGAGTCCGCGTGATGATCCAACGTCGCCTCCGTCGGCTCGTCGTACGGCTTGTGAGGACAAACCAGAGTATTCGTCGGTCGGATTTTGTTCGAGAAACTATTGAGCTCTTTTTGGGACTCATACAACGGCAGTATGCAAGCATCAAGCCACCCAGTACTCACGATGCAGCACTCGCCGCCGCAAAAGATGTCACGTGGTTGACACGTGTTCGTTCCCGTGTAGCGACACACGCCCGTGCCCTCCTCGCATCGCTTCGTGCCCCGCTCGACGCGCAGCTCTCGGCGGCTGAATTGGAGCAATCCATCCGAGGCAACGCTTGTTGTAGAGGCGTCTCATCTACTTTGCAGGAACTCTAAGTTGCACTAAACGATAGAGCACAGTCTTGGCTTTCCAACAAGCCGTCAAACACGTTAATCGCCCAAGTATACGCCGAGATATTGGGGTTCACGTGATTGCTAGTGCTCTTAGAAGCAAGGATAGACCTCTCTGGAATTTTGGTTCGAATGGACCATGTACAAGAAGATTCAGGATTTCAGTATTAAGCATGCATACAAGGCAGGTCGATTTATAGCAAATGCATTACATCGAACCGCACATGTAACATCACATCGCTACACTCGCGTCGCGAATGTGCCGCGTGTAACATTTCGGTTGGGGTGAAATTCGACCACCGAATTTCACACCGAACACACCGAATTCGCCTTGCACTTGAAGGTTGGAATGTGGTGCCGCCACGTGGCACCGAAGGGTGAGTCTCCCGAAGTCAATCGGTGCCACCCCACCGATCCCTAGTCAAAGGGATCGAAGGCACCGAAGTGCCCTCGGTGGGTTGGGGGCATACCACCGCCCCACTACCGTTTCCTTCCAACACTCCCCCTTGCACCCAAGCCACTAGGTGTTCATACCAACACGCTCACGGCATGCACGGAATGAATCCTTAGGGAGTGGTTTAGTGAGGAAATCCGCGGGTTGCGCCTTGGTGCTTATGTATGTGACCTTGACCTCACCTCTCTCGACCACCTCACGAATGAAGTGATGCTTCACCTCAATGTGCTTGGTACGCCCGTGAAGGACGGCATTGTGAGTGAGGTTTATGGCCGCTTGGTTGTCACAAAAGAGAGGAGTTGGGTCGGCTTGAGGATGCCCAAGCTCCGCTAGAAGGCGCCGTAGCCATATTGCCTCCATGGCTCCTTGAGTGAGTGCCATATACTCCGCTTCCGTTGTGCTTAGAGCCACGGTTGGTTGCAACTTGCTTTGCCAACTCACGGCTCCCCCAAGCAAGGTGAAGACGTACCCGCCGGTACTCTTGCGCTTGCTTTGATCACCGGCATAATCCGAGTCGGTGTAGCCCTTAAGCACGATTGGACCGGCTTCATACACGATTCCCAAGTTGGGTGTGCCTTTGAGGTAGCGTAGAACACGTCCTCCCGCACGCACATGCTCGGTATGAGGGTTGCTTACGGCTCGTCCAAGTACCCCGGCGGCGTATGAGAGGTCGGGACAGGTGGAAACGGCGGCATACATGAGTGAGCCGACTAGCGAATGAAACCGCTTCCCTTCGGCTTCGTCGAGGGCGGATTCTTCCTCTCCCGGGAGGCAAGAAAATCCCGTGTCTAGTGGCGTCCCCACCGGGTTGCTATTACCCATGCCGAAGCGCTCCACAACCCCTTTCACAAATTTTTCTTGGTGGAGGTGAATGGTCCCGTTCGCGCGGTCGCGGTCGACGTGCATCCCGAGGTAGTACGTCACCGGTCCCAAGTCCCTCATGGCAAACTCCGCCCCTAGCCGTTGCTTGACCTCTCGAATGAGGTCTTTGGAGTCGGAGAAAAGAAGGAGGTCATCGACGTAGAGCAAAAGCACCAATTGCTTCTCCCCCTCCTTCAACACGTAGAAAGCGCTATCACACACGCTACGCGCGAAGCCGTGTTGAAGAAGAAAGTCGTCGATGCGCTTGTACCATCCGCGTGGGCTTTGCTTCAAGCCATAGAGGGTACGCTTGAGCTTCCACACCCGACCGCTACCGTCATCGTACCCCGGGGGTTGCCGCATGTAGACTTCTTCCATGAGAAGCCCGTAGAGGAAGGCGGTGCAAACGTCCAATTGTTCCACCTCGAGGTTGAGAGATGCCGCTAGCGCGAGCAACACCCGAAGAGTGGAGGCCTTCGAAACGGGAGCGAAGGTCTCACTATAGTGCTCCCCCTCCCGTTGAGTGTACCCTTGCGCCACAAGCCGCGCCTTGTAGCGTTCGACACCTCCATCGGCTCCCAATTTCTTCCTAAGCACCCACTTGCATCCCACCAAGTAGGCACCCTTCGGCGGGTCGACGAGCTCGAAAACATCGTTCTCCTTGATCGATGCTAACTCCCTCTCCATCGCTTGCTTCCATAGCGGTGCATCCGGGGAAGCCAAAGCCTCCTTGTGAGTGCGTGGGTTATCGTCGCCGATGGTCGCTAGGCAAATCGCCGCACTCTCCTCATCCGACTCCCCAACGGCGACCGTAGCATAGTCGGTTAACCTCGTGTTGGGGCGAGGTGTACGACGCCCGCGAGTCAACGCCAATGGTAGGGAAGAAGGTGCGGAGGAAGTGGCCTCCTCGATTGGTGGCACCTCCTCGACATCATCATCGCACTCCTCGTTCTCTCCCCCTCCACTTTCGGCTCCCTTCTTCACGTGCGGTGAAACCTGCACCGCTTCATCCTCCTCTCGTGCGGGAAGGACGACGGTGAGTTGCGGCGTTTGTTTCTCCTTTGTCGGGAACTTGTCTTCGTCGAAGATCACATCCCGAGACGTGACGACGCGTTTTTCATCCAAATCCCACACTCGCCATGCACGCTCGTTCGCCGCAATCCCCAAGTAGATCGCCGCACGAGCTTTCGGTTGCAACTTGTGGCGAAGTGGATCCGGTACATGGTAGTAGCAAAGGCACCCAAAGGTGCGTAGGCGGTATAGGTTCGGCTTCGTTCCGGTCCATGCTTCGAACGGAGTCGTTCCCGGTAGCACCTTTGTTGGTACACGATTACGAATCCATGCCGCTAGCGCACTCGCCTCTCCCCACCACTCGTTCCCAAGCTTGGAGTGTTGAAGAAGTGAACGAACGGCCTCCATCAATGTGCGATTGAGCCGCTCTACCGCTCCATTTTGTTGGGGTGTGTAGGGTGTCGTGACGTCGTGCTTAATGCCCTTGCTTTTCATCCATTTTTCAAGCTCGTTGCTCACGAATTCGCCGCCACCGTCGGTGCGAATGCACTTGATCCGCTTCTTGCCGTCGTCGCAAACGTCGAGCGCCCACTCTTGAATCGCCTTGGCCGCATCTCCCTTAGCCTTCAAGAGTCGGGTCCAACTCATCCGCGTCGCGTCGTCGAGCATCACTAAGAGGAACCGCGCTCCTCCCTTTGATGCATGCCGCATCGGTCCACACACGTCCATGTGAACAAGCGCAAGCGGGTCCTTTGCGAGGGGTGAGGTACGGCTACCAAATGGCTTGCGAGCCATTTTTCCTTCGACACACGCCGCGCACACGCCCTTCTCGTCGTTGCCGGCGATCACGTCAAATCCCTTCGCAAGTCCTTTGTTGGCCAACTCTTTGACCGAGTCGTAGTTGGCGTGCGCAAGCCGATTATGCCACATTTTGAGAGTCGCCTTGGAGCCTTGCGCCACGTTGGATGAGGCCGTTGTCGGATGCGTCTTGAGTTGGTAGAGTTGTCCGTTGAGAACGCCTTGCGCGAATTGCTTCCCCTTCCAAAAGAGGTTCATCTTCGCGCCATCGATGGTGACCTTCACGTCTTTCTTTGCGAGTTGAGTGACGGAGAGTAGATTCACCTTCAATCCCGGGACGTGAAGCACGTTCGTGATGTCCACCGGCCCGCCATCGACGATGAGACGCGTACTCCCAACTCCAACCACCGGTAGCGATTTATCGTTCCCGAAGACGACACGCTTGACGTCTCCCGGAGCACCGACGTTGTTGAGGAGCGACGCCGAGTGCGTCATGTGTTGTGTTGCACCGGTGTCGAGGAACCACGCGTCGTTTGAAGTGTTGATCCCGTCACCGGCCAACAAAACGAGCGACTCCGTTGAATCATCCGCCTCGCCGGATGCCGTGTGCGCGTTGCCCTCTTGGTTCCGCGCCTTCGATGGAATCCAATCGCTCGGCCGCTTCCGACATTCACGCCAAAAGTGCCCCGCTTTGCGACAATAATGACACTTGCTCGAACCGTTCGATGCGTTGCCCTTGCCGCGACCGTTTCCACCGGACGACTTCTTTGCCTCACCGTTGCTCCACTTGGACTTCTTTCCGGAGCTCCCTCCGGAGAACATGGCGGTCTCCACGCTCTCGTTAGCGAATTGTCGGCGTCGCGATTCTTCATGGAGAAGCCGACCGACCACCATTTCCTTCGTCCAAGTGTTTTGCACGCTATCGAGTGTCGTAATCACCGTCGACCACTCTTCCGGAAGGCCGCAAAGCAAGGTGAGAATCCAATCCTCCTCCGTGACCGTTCCACCGAGGTCCATGAACGTTTCCCCGAGTTCCTCCACACGAGTCGCATACTCGTGCATCGATTCGCCCGCGCGCAACTTCACCGTGTAGAACGCATTTCGGGCTAGGATCTTGCCGTGGAGAGTCTTGTTCACGTGCATCGTCTCGAGCCGCTTCCATGCTTCACGCGCCGAAGCTTCGAGCTTGATGCACGTGCGCACCGAACTCACGAGATTGATGCCGATGCGCGAAATCAACGTTGCGAAC